GTAAGACGGGGGGTTGTGGGGATCCTGGGGAGGGTTGGGGGTGCTGGCAGGGTTTTGAGGGGTCCTGGAGGGATTTGGGCAGAATTTGGAGGGATTTTGAGGGGGATTTGGGGAGGATTTGGGGGTCTTGGGGAGGATTTGGAGCTCCCCTGTTGTCCAAGGCTGGGCTGGATGAAGGGTGGGACACGGAGGGTCCCCGTGACCCCCGGGGTGACCCCCGTGTCCCCTCCCCAGGACATGGCGGGGCTGCTGACCCCCGCGGCCGCCCGGCTGCTGGTGGGGGCCCTGCGGGAGCAGCACCCCGAGGTGCCCCTGCACGTGCACACCCACGACACGGCCGGCGCTGGTGTGGCCTCCATGCTGGCGGCCGCCCAGGCCGGCGCCGACGTGGTGGACGTGGCCGTGGACGCCATGTCCGGCATGACCTCCCAGCCCAGCATGGGCGCCGTGGTGGCCTGCGCGCGGGGGACGCCCCTGGACACAGGTGGGGACAGGGGACAGTGAGGGGTGGAGGGGTCGGCAAAGGTGACAGCAAGGGGTGGAGGGACACGGAGGGTTTGGGGTGCCACCGAGGGTTTGGAGGAGCAGCAAGGGTTGGAGATGTCACCAAGGGTTTGGGGTGTCACCAAGGGTTTGAGGTGTCACCAAGGGTTTGGGGTGCCACTGAGGGTTTGGAGGAACAGCAAGGGTTGGAGATGTCATCAGGTGTTTGGGGTGTCACCAAGGCTTTGAGATGTCACCAAGGGTTTGGGGTGCCACCGAGGGTTTGGAGGAACAGCAGGGGTTGGAGATGTCACCAAGAGTTTGGGGTGTCACCAAGGGTTTGGGGTGTCACCAAGGGTTTGGAGGGACAGCAAGGGTTGGAGGTGCCACCAAGGGTTGGAGGTGCAACCATGGGTTTGAGGTGTCACCAAGGGTTTGGGGTGCCACCGAGGGTTTGGAGAAGCAGCAAGGGTTGGAGATGTCACCAAGGGTTTGGGGTGTCACCAAGGCTTTGAGGTGTCACCAAGGGTTTGGGGTGCCACCGAGGGTTTGGAGGAACAGCAGGGGTTGGAGATGTCACCAAGAGTTTGGGGTGTCACCAAGGGTTTGGGGTGTCACCAAGGCTTTGAGGTGTCACCAAGGGTTTGGGGTGCCACTGAGGGTTTGGAGGAACAGCAGGGGTTGGAGATGTCACCAAGAGTTTGGAGGTGTCACCAAGGGTTTGGAGGGACAGCAAAGGTTTGAGATGTCCCAAAGAGTTTGGAGGTGTCACCTAGGGTTGAAGGGGACAACAAGGGTTTGAGATGTCACCAAGAGTTTGGAGGGACAACAAGGGTTAGAGGTGCCACCGAGGGTTTGAAGGGACAGCAAGGGTTGGAGATGTCACCAAGGGTTTGGAGGGACAGGAAGAGTTTCAGGTGTCATCAAGGGTTTGGAGGTGTCACCAAAGGTTGAAGGGGACAGCGAGGATTTGGGGTGCCACCAATGGCTGGAGGAATAACAAAGATTTGAGGTGCCACCAAGGGTTTGAGGGACAGCAGGGGTTGTAGGGGACATCAAGAGCTGGAGAGACACCAAGGATTTGAGCGGCCACCAAGGCTTTGAGGAGCCACAGTGGTCACGGAGGTGCCACCACAGTCCTGGAGGTGCCACCAGAACCACAACTTCATTCTGAATCCATGACACGCCCCACACCACACCCCTGCCGTGTCCCCGCGGTGTCCCCACGGTGTCCCCTTGTCCCCAGGCATCGACCTGGAGCGCGTCTTCGAGTACAGCGAGTACTGGGAGGCGGCGCGGGGCCTCTACGCCGCCTTCGACTGCACGGCCACCATGAAGTCGGGCAACGCCGACGTCTACGAGAACGAGATCCCGGGCGGGCAGTACACCAACCTGCACTTCCAGGCCCACGCCATGGGGCTGGGACACAAGTTCAAGGAGGTCAAGAAGGCCTACACCGAGGCCAACAAGCTGCTCGGGGACCTCATCAAGGTGGGGTGGCCCTGGGGGCTGCGGGAGGGCTGTGGGGTGGGGGGTGTTTGTGGGGTGGGTGGTCTCCACAAAATGGTGTCCGTGGGGTGGGGGATGTCCACTGGGTGGTGTCCATGGGGTGGGGGGTCTCCAAGAGAAGGTCTCCATGGGGTAGATGGTCTCCATGGCATGGAAAATTTCTGTGGGGTGGGGGGTCTCCATGGGGCAGGGGGTGTCCATGGGGTGGGAGGATCTCTGTGGGGTGGGTGGTCTCCATGGGTGGGTGGTCTCCATAGAATGGTCTCCATGGGACAGATGGTCTCCGTGGGGTGGGAGGATCTCTGTGGGGTGGGTGGTCTCCATGGGTGGGCATTCCACCAAGGGCAGTCGTGTGGTGACCCCCGAGGTGACCCATGAGAGTTGCCCCCCAAGCTGACCCTGAGCTGACCCATGACAACTAAGATGACCCCAAAAGTTCACCCAAGAGGTTGCCCCCAAGCTGACCCTGAGCTGACCCATGAAATGACCCCAAGGTGACCCCAAGAGTTGACCCAAGAGGTTCCCTCCACACTGACCCATGAGGTGACCCGAAGAGCTGCTCCCCAAACTGACCCCTAAGATGACCCCAAGAGTTCACCCAAGAGGTTGCCCCCCAAGCTGACCCTGAGCTGACCCATGAAATGACCCCTAAGGTGACCCCAAGAGTTGACCCAAGAGGTTCCCCACAAACTGACCCATGAGGTCCCCCCAAGCTGACCCTGAGCTGACCCATGAAATGACCCCAAGGTGACCCCAAGAGTTGACCCAAGAGGTTCCCTCCACACTGACCCATGAGGTGACCCGAAGAGCTGCTCCCCAAACTGCCCCCTAAGATGACCCCAAGAGTTCACCCATGAGGTCCCCCCAAGCTGACCCTGAGCTGACCCATGAAATGACCCCAAGGTGACCCCAAGAGTTGACCCAAGAGGTTCCCTCCACACTGACCCATGAGGTGACCCGAAGAGCTGCTCCCCAAACTGACCCCTAAGATGACCCCAAGAGTTCACCCAAGAGGTTGCCCCCCAAGCTGACCCTGAGCTGACCCATGAAATGACCCCAAGGTGACCCCAAGAGTTGACCCAAGAGGTTCCCTCCACACTGACCCATGAGGTGACCCGAAGAGCTGCTCCCCAAACTGACCCCTAAGATGACCCCAAGAGTTCACCCATGAGGTCCCCCCAAGCTGACCCTGAGCTGACCCATGAAATGACCCCAAGGTGACCCCAAGAGTTGACCCAAGAGGTTCCCTCCACACTGACCCATGAGGTGACCCGAAGAGCTGCTCCCCAAACTGACCCCTAAGATGACCCCAAGAGTTCACCCATGAGGTCCCCCCAAGCTGACCCTGAGCTGACCCATGAAATGACCCCAAGGTGACCCCAAGAGTTGACCCAAGAGGTTCCCTCCACACTGACCCATGAGGTGACCCGAAGAGCTGCTCCCCAAACTGACCCCTAAGATGACCCCAAGAGTTCACCCATGAGGTCCCCCCAAGCTGACCCTGAGCTGACCCATGAAATGACCCCAAGGTGACCCCAAGAGTTGACCCAAGAGGTTCCCTCCACACTGACCCATGAGGTGACCCGAAGAGCTGCTCCCCAAACTGACCCCTAAGATGACCCCAAGAGTTCACCCATGAGGTCCCCCCAAGCTGACCCTGAGCTGACCCATGAAATGACCCCAAGGTGACCCCAAGAGTTGACCCAAGAGGTTCCCTCCACACTGACCCATGAGGTGACCCGAAGAGCTGCTCCCCAAACTGACCCCTAAGATGACCCCAAGAGTTCACCCATGAGGTCCCCCCAAGCTGACCCTGAGCTGACCCATGAAATGACCCCAAGGTGACCCCAAGAGTTGACCCAAGAGGTTCCCTCCACACTGACCCATGAGGTGACCCGAAGAGCTGCTCCCCAAACTGACCCCTAAGATGACCCCAAGAGTTCACCCATGAGGTCCCCCCAAGCTGACCCTGAGCTGACCCATGAAATGACCCCAAGGTGACCCCAAGAGTTGACCCAAGAGGTTCCCTCCACACTGACCCATGAGGTGACCCGAAGAGCTGCTCCCCAAACTGACCCCTAAGATGACCCCAAGAGTTCACCCATGAGGTCCCCCCAAGCTGACCCTGAGCTGACCCATGAAATGACCCCAAGGTGACCCCAAGAGTTGACCCAAGAGGTTCCCTCCACACTGACCCATGAGGTGACCCGAAGAGCTGCTCCCCAAACTGACCCCTAAGATGACCCCAAGAGTTCACCCATGAGGTCCCCCCAAGCTGACCCTGAGCTGACCCATGAAATGACCCCAAGGTGACCCCAAGAGTTGACCCAAGAGGTTCCCTCCACACTGACCCATGAGGTGACCCGAAGAGCTGCTCCCCAAACTGACCCCTAAGATGACCCCAAGAGTTCACCCATGAGGTCCCCCCAAGCTGACCCTGAGCTGACCCATGAAATGACCCCAAGGTGACCCCAAGAGTTGACCCAAGAGGTTCCCTCCACACTGACCCATGAGTGTCACCAAGGGTTTGGGGTGCCACCGAGGGTTTGGAGGAACAGCAGGGGTTGGAGATGTCACCAAGAGTTTGGGGTGTCACCAAGGGTTTGGGGTGTCACCAAGGGTTTGGGGTGTCACCAAGGGTTTGGGGTGTCACCAAGGGTTTGGGGTGTCACCAAGGGTTTGGGGTGTCACCAAGGGTTTGGGGTGTCACCAAGGGTTTGGGGTGTCACCAAGGGTTTGGGGTGTCACCAAGGGTTTGGGGTGTCACCAAGGGTTTGGGGTGTCACCAAGGGTTTGGAGGGACAGCAAGGGTTGGAGGTGCCACCAAGGGTTGGAGGTGCAACCATGGGTTTGAGGTGTCACCAAGGGTTTGGGGTGCCACTGAGGGTTTGGAGGAACAGCAGGGGTTGGAGATGTCACCAAGAGTTTGGAGGTGTCACCAAGGGTTTGGAGGGACAGCAAAGGTTTGAGATGTCCCAAAGAGTTTGGAGGTGTCACCTAGGGTTGAAGGGGACAACAAGGGTTTGAGATGTCACCAAGAGTTTGGAGGGACAACAAGGGTTAGAGGTGCCACCGAGGGTTTGAAGGGACAGCAAGGGTTGGAGATGTCACCAAGGGTTTGGAGGGACAGGAAGAGTTTCAGGTGTCATCAAGGGTTTGGAGGTGTCACCAAAGGTTGAAGGGGACAGCGAGGATTTGGGGTGCCACCAATGGCTGGAGGAATAACAAAGATTTGAGGTGCCACCAAGGGTTTGAGGGACAGCAGGGGTTGTAGGGGACATCAAGAGCTGGAGAGACACCAAGGATTTGAGCGGCCACCAAGGCTTTGAGGAGCCACAGTGGTCACGGAGGTGCCACCACAGTCCTGGAGGTGCCACCAGAACCACAACTTCATTCTGAATCCATGACACGCCCCACACCACACCCCTGCCGTGTCCCCGCGGTGTCCCCACGGTGTCCCCTTGTCCCCAGGCATCGACCTGGAGCGCGTCTTCGAGTACAGCGAGTACTGGGAGGCGGCGCGGGGCCTCTACGCCGCCTTCGACTGCACGGCCACCATGAAGTCGGGCAACGCCGACGTCTACGAGAACGAGATCCCGGGCGGGCAGTACACCAACCTGCACTTCCAGGCCCACGCCATGGGGCTGGGACACAAGTTCAAGGAGGTCAAGAAGGCCTACACCGAGGCCAACAAGCTGCTCGGGGACCTCATCAAGGTGGGGTGGCCCTGGGGGCTGCAGGAGGGCTGTGGGGTGGGGGGTGTTTGTGGGGTGGGTGGTCTCCACAAAATGGTGTCCGTGGGGTGGGGGATGTCCACTGGGTGGTGTCCATGGGGTGGGGGGTCTCCAAGAGAAGGTCTCCATGGGGTAGATGGTCTCCATGGCATGGAAAATTTCTGTGGGGTGGGGGGTCTCCATGGGGCAGGGGGTGTCCATGGCGTGGAGGATCTCTGTGGGGTGGGTGGTCTCCATGGGTGGGTGGTCTCCATAGAATGGTCTCCATGGGACAGATGGTCTCCGTGGGGTGGGAGGATCTCTGTGGGGGGGGTGGTCTCCATGGGTGGGCATTCCACCAAGGGCAGTCGTGTGGTGACCCCCGAGGTGACCCATGAGAGTCCCCCCAAGCTGACCCTGAGCTGACCCATGACAACTAAGATGACCCCAAAAGTTCACCCAAGAGGTTGCCCCCAAGCTGACCCTGAGCTGACCCATGAAATGACCCCAAGGTGACCCCAAGAGTTGACCCAAGAGGTTCCCTCCACACTGACCCATGAGGTGACCCGAAGAGCTGCTCCCCAAACTGACCCCTAAGATGACCCCAAGAGTTCACCCATGAGGTCCCCCCAAGCTGACCCTGAGCTGACCCATGAAATGACCCCAAGGTGACCCCAAGAGTTGACCCAAGAGGTTCCCTCCACACTGACCCATGAGGTGACCCGAAGAGCTGCTCCCCAAACTGACCCCTAAGATGACCCCAAGAGTTCACCCAAGAGGTCCCCCCAAACGGACCCTGAGCTGACCCATGACAACTAAGATGACCCCAAAAGTTCACCCAAGAGGTTGCCCCCAAGCTGACCCTGAGCTGACCCATGAAATGACCCCAAGGTGACCCCAAGAGTTGACCCAAGAGGTTCCCCACAAACTGACCCATGAGGTGACCCGAAGAGCTGCTCCCCAAACTGACCCCTAAGATGACCCCAAGAGTTCACCCAAGAGGTTGCCCCCCAAGCTGACCCTGAGCTGACCCATGAAATGACCCCTAAGATGACCCCAAGAGTTGACCCAAGAGGTTCCCTCCACACTGACCCATGAGGTCCCCCCAAGCTGACCCTGAGCTGACCCATGAAATGACCCCAAGGTGACCCCAAGAGTTGACCCAAGAGGTTCCCCACAAACTGACCCATGAGGTGACCCAAGAGCTGCTCCTTGAGTTGACCACAAGGGTGACCCCGAGTTGCCCCATGAGTTAACCCAGGAGTGGACAGCGAGGTGACCCCGAGGTGACCCCTGGTGGCCCCGAGGTGACCCCTGGTGCCCCGCAGGTGACGCCCACCTCGAAGGTGGTGGGGGACCTGGCGCAGTTCATGGTGCAGAACGGGCTCTCGCGGGAGGAGGCCGAGGCGCGGGCGGACGAGCTCTCCTTCCCCCTGAGCGTGGTGGAGTTCCTGCAGGGACACATCGGGGTCCCCCCGGGGGGCTTCCCCGAGCCCTTCCGCTCCCGGGTGGGTCCTGCTGGGCGCTGGCAGGGACTGGGAGGGACTGGGAGGATGTACTGGAGGCTGTTGCCATGGCAACAGGATGCTGTGGTTCCCTGCTGCCATCTCCGTCGCTGGTTGCCGTGGCACCCGCTCCTAACACTGGCTCCTAATGATGGTTGCCATGGCAATCGAGCCTAGCAACGGGTCCTAGAAATGGTTACCATGGTACCGAGCCCTGGCAACGGCTTCTAGTGGTGGTTACCATGGCAATCAACCCTAGCAACAGTTCCTGATGTTGGTTGCCATGGTACCCAAGCCTGGCAATGGCTTTTAATGATCGTTGCTATGGCAGCCACCCCATTGCCATGTCCCCTACCTGGTTACCATGGTGTCACTCGCCCTGTTGCCGTGTCCCCTGCCCCATTCCCATGTCCCTGTCCCATTCCCATGGTGTCACTCACCCCATTCCCATGGCCCATATCCCTCTCCCTGTCCCCTCCCCACTGCCATGTCCCTGTCCCATGTCCCTGCCCCATTCCCATGTCCCATTCCCATGTCCCTGTCCCTGTCCCCCCTCATTGCCATGATGTCCCCTGTCCCTGTCCCCTCCCCGTTGCCATGGTGTCTCCTGTCCCTGTCCCCCCCATTCCCATGTCCCTGTCCCATGTCCCTGTTCCTGTCCCCATTCCCATGTCCCTGTCCCTGTCCCATGTCCATGTCCCTGTCCCTGTCCCTGTCGCTGTCCCCCCCCATTCCCATGTCCATGTCCCTGTCCCTGTCCCTGTCCCCCCCCATTCCCATGTCCCTGTCCCTATCCCTGTCCCTGTCGCTGTCCCATGTCCCTGTCCCTGTCCCCCCGCATTCCCAAGTCCCTGTCCCTGTCCCTGTCCCAACACACCAGTGCCACACCAGTTACAACCCAGTTACTCGTGGTTTACTCCTAGGTGGAGCTGGAGCGGGATAAGACGCTGCACATCCAGGCCCTTACACACCAGTTACACACCCCAGGCACCCTTACACACCAGTTACACACCAGTTCCACACCAGTTACAACCCAGTTACTCGTGGTTTACTCCTAGGTGGAGCTGGAGCGTGGTAAGACGCTGCACATCAAGGCGCTGGCGCTCGGCGACCTGAACGCGGCCGGGCAGCGCGAGGTTTTCTTCGAGCTCAACGGGCAGCTGAGATCCATCCTGGTCCGGGACACGCAGGCGCTCAAGGTGGGCTGGGGGGTTTGGGGGTTTGCCCCTCTGCTTTTGCCAAACGCCCCCCCGGGGTGGGGGAGGGGAAGGGGGCGGAGCCTGTGACCAAAGGGGGGAATTGAACTGGACTCTGTGGGGGGAGGGGCCGCCCCTCCCCCCCTCCCTGCGGGGAAAGGAACTGGAGAGGGAGGGGCCGCCCCTCCCCCATCACCCCCTCCCCCATCCCCCCGTTTTGGGGGTCCCGGGCAATAAAAACTGGACTAACGGCACCCGCGGTGTGGGGGAGGGGCTGCCGAGACCCCCAGGCGACCCCGAGGTGAGACCAGGGGCTCCTTATGGAGGGGGCGTGGCCTGAGCTGAAGGAGGCGTGTCCTCCATCACGAGGGGCGTGGTCAGTGATCACAGAGGGGCTTTAATTCCCAAAGGGGGAAGTGGGCGTGGCTTCAACCCAACCCCCCCACACCTGACCCCAAAAGGGGCGTGTCCCAACACAATGGGTGTGGTCTCTATTTCCTGGTGGGCGTGGCCTCAGAGCGCCCAAAACTGGGCGTGTCCCTGCCTAAGTGGGCGTGTCCCCAGGTGGGTGTGTCCCTGCCTATAATGGGCATGTCCCCAAATGGGCGTGTCCCTTTCCTAACTGTGTGCCTAAGTGGGTGTGTCCCTCCCATAACCGGGCGTATCCCAGCTGGGTGTGTCCCTCCCCTAACCTCAAAATGGGCGTGTCCCTCCCTAATGGGTGTGTCCCCCCGAATGGGCGTGCCCCTCCCTGAATGGTCATGTCCCTCCTTAATGGGCGTGTCTCTAATGGGCATGTCACTCCCTAATGGGCGTGTCCAAAGGAGCATATCCCTAATGGGCGTGTCCCTCCCTAATAGGCGTGTCCCTAATGGGCGTGTCCCTAATGGGTGTGTTCCCCAATGAGTGTGTCCCCCCATGGGTGTGTCCCCCCATAGGTGTGTCCCTCCCTAACGGGCGTGTCCCTAATGGGCGTGTCCCCCAATGAGTGTGTCCCCCATGGGTGTGTCCCTCCCTAATGGGCGTGTCCCCCAATGGGCGTGTCCCCCCATGGGCGTGTCCCTCCCTAATAGGCATGTCCCTAATGGGCATGCCCCCAATGGGCATGTCCCCCAATGGGTGTGTCCCTCCCTAATAGGCATGTCCCTAATGGGCGTGTCCCCCAGTGGGTGTGTCCCTCCCTAATGGGCGTGTCCCTCCCTAATAGGCATGTCCCCCAATGGGCGTGTCCCCCAATGGGCGTGTCCCCCAATGGGTGTGTCCTCCCCTAATGGGCGTGTCCCTCCCTATTAGGCATGTCCCTCCCAAATGGGCGTGTCCCCAATGGGTATGTCCCCCAATGGGCGTGTCCCTCCCTAATGGGCGTGTCCCTCCCTAATAGGCATGTCCCCTAAGGAGCGTGTCCCCCAATGCGTGTGTCCCTCCCTAATAGGCATGTCCCCTAAGGAGCGTGTCCCCCAATGCGTGTGTCCCTCCCTAATAGGCATGTCCCCTAAGGAGCGTGTCCCCCAATGCGTGTGTCCCTCCCTAATAGGCATGTCCCCTAAGGAGCGTGTCCCCCAATGCGTGTGTCCCTCCCTAATAGGCATGTCCCCTAAGGAGCGTGTCCCCCAATGCGTGTGTCCCTCCCTAATAGGCATGTCCCCTAATGGGCGTGTCCCCCAATGCGTGTGTCCCTCCCTAATAGGCATGTCCCCCAATGGGTGTGTCCTCCCCTAATGGGCGTGTCCCTCCCTAATAGGCATGTCCCCCAATGAGTGTGTCCCCCATGGGTGTGTCCCTCCCTAATGGGCGTGTCCCTAATGGGCGTGTCCCCCAATGGGTGTGTCCTCCCCTAATGGGCGTGTCCCTCCCTAATAGGCATGTCCCTAATGGGCATGCCCCCAATGGGCATGTCCCCCAATGGGTGTGTCCCTCCCTAATGGGTGTGTCCCTCCCTAATAGGCATGTCCCTAATGGGCGTGTCCCCCAGTGGGTGTGTCCCTCCCTAATTGGCGTGTCCCTCCCTAATAGGCATGTCCCCCAATGGGCGTGTCCCCCAATGGGCGTGTCCCCCAATGGGCGTGTCCCCCAATGGGTGTGTCCTCCCCTAATGGGCGTGTCCCTCCCTAATAGGCATGTCCCCCAATGGGCGTGTCCCCCAATGGGCGTGTCCCCCAATGGGTGTGTCCTCCCCTAATGGGCGTGTCCCTCCCTA